CAATGACCAGAACTTCTTGATTTTGAGGACTCATTTCCTTAATGACTGGAATTTGATTCACTGGAATGTTAATTTCCTTAGCTAAATGTTTTCCATCCTCCGAATGTAAAATAACAGATGATGGTTTCAACACTTTACTGTCAATAGAAGAGGTCGATGAAGAAGGTAGCATTATTCTCCTCTCCTGTTTTGAGAAGAAGATTATCGTCTCAACAGCCTCTATGATGTTATTGTTATTCCCCTTCTCTGAGCAGCCACTTATTGAGGAGACATGAATCGAGTCCTTATCATCCCCAGCTGCAACATCCTGAACATCCTCAATAGTCTCTGAATGATGATGGTCTGGAATGCTTGCACAAGTTCCCATTCTTCTCCCTTTTAATGTGAATTATCTTAGTAAGAACAATTTGATATTGACCACCACCACAGTAAAGATGTGAGGTTTGTTGGTATGTTGTTTTTTTCAAAAACAGAGCCAACAAACTGTGTGCATTGAACAACCTTATTTATTACCCAAACTGAAACAGCTGTGTCAGAAACATTTTTGGTAAATTGTGTGAAAAAGTGTTTCCAAAGGAGTGTGCGATCGTTCGGAATTAGGATACCTTAATAATTTTCCACACCAACAACAGCCAAGGTACACAAAGCGGCGATAGCAAGGCACCACATGGCCATTTTGAGCTCTCTCCAGAAAACATAGCCAAGCAACCAACGAAGATTTAACAATTGCTTTCTGAAACCATCATCCATAATCAAGACAGTTTGAAAGTAATAACTCGATACTGCAGAGTAGTGACTTGAAATGAATAATCTATCAGTGAGCCAAGCCAATAGTGGAGCAACCAATTTTTGTAAGTAGAGGTTCTTTGAATATTTAGAAAAGTCAAATCTCAAATCGGAGCTAGACCCCAAAATCCAAGGAACTAAATAGGTCTTGGAAAGAGCCAATTGAAACTTGTTACAAAACTTGGCATTAAATACTGCCTTATTGGATGTTTCGAGCTCCTTCTTGATCATGCTATCCAAAAATACTGCCGAATCTACAGACAAGGTAATTCCCTGGCCATAAATAGGATTGAGAGAAGCTAATGTTTGAATGCAAAAGGATTAAATTGAATATTTTCCACACACAACTTACCAACAGCATCACCGAGTGCAATAAATCCTTTGACATTCTTTAAATTTTCATAGTGTACGTATTCGCTGCCATTCTTTTCATAGATTGGAGCTATTCTCTTTGGTTCATCTTTGAGTAGATCCAATACATGTGAAGTGTCCTTCTCCATATCTGGGAAATCTTTACAAAATTCTAAAATTTGCTCCTTTGCACGTTCTGGAGTCAATGACTCAATTTTCTCATTGTAATTGTGTAAGAGGAGCAACATGGTATTGTCAGTGAATGGCATTATGAGCATTCCCTTTGTATTTGGGTAGGTCAACAAGTGATAAATCATATAGTATGGATCATTAATCTTTCTATTCTCATTCACTTGTCTATCTTCACGACAGAGAACGACCTTTCCTTCACTATCGTATGAAGTATCCTTAGGTTCAAAATAAACAGTTTGATATCTAATCTTGACTTCTACCTTAGATTTGGTTAATAGTTTCTTATGAGGTGAAACTTCATTTTCAATGTTTTTCATCAAAACATTGGATCCTACACCAGCACAATTGACAAACAAATCACAATCAATTATCAATCGATCTGCTGGATCATTTTCTTGTGAACACTTTGCAATGGTCACTGATTTGACACGTACAACCTTCTCTCCATTGTTGCTCTCTTGTACTCTTTCAATATTGATTCCATTAGAGGAAACATTGTATCCATCGAATATCTCAATATTCTTCAAATCTTTTCTAATCCTTTCTCTGAGTGCAGTTTCCATCTGTCCTCTACTGGCAGTAATAATCGATCTACTTCTCAAATCAAAATGTCCACTCAAATTATAACCTTCCCTGTAGAAATATTTGACTTCGGTGGCAGGAAACATTAATTGTGAAAGTCGATTAGCTTTTGTCATTTCTACCAACTCGGACCAAAATCCTGGCAATAATCGATCCCACACCAATAATGAACGATATGAAATAGCATGAGCTTGTTCTCCCTGTCTGGCTTTGGCCACAGTTTCAAGTGGCTCCATCACAGTTCGATCCACAATAATTACCCTTCTGTAATATTTTGACAGTACAATGGCACTTGTCAGTCCAGCAAAGGATCCTCCTAGGATTATTGCTGTATCTCCAATTCTTTCAACTTTCTCATCTGCTGCACTTTGAATATCTTCCAGCAATACTTGACAATCAAGATATGGTTTGTAAAACTTGAAATACAAGAGCCAAAGCGAAACTGCCACAAGCAAACAGAGAAACAGTAAGAAAGGCAACATTATTTTGAAGGGTTTCGTTTGTTTTTTTTCTTTCTCTCTTGTGAGAAGGTAATTCACCATTTGACATTACAAACATGTCATCACGTAGACGGTTGACTTCCAAAATTGTATTTTAAACCTTCTTAATGGCCAGATGAATATTAAACGAGAATTTTTCTCTTCAAAAGCATTAAAATCACAAGTGGAAAGCACGCTCTCTTTATCTGAACAAGTAAACACAAAATGAATTAATAATTAAATAGAATACATTTTGTAGTCATGGAATAGAAGAATTCTTCACCACTTTTCGAAAGGTAATATTCATGGAAATTAGAACTGGATTTGTTCCGAACTTCTTGAATAATTAAATAATGTGTGGCCATGATGATGTCCGTGAAGAGAAAAGATATATTCAAAAGGCCCTTGAAGGCATTGACAAACCAGAATTCAAGAATAGAATTTCATCAGGCTTGTTCAGAAATCTTGATAGCAGTTATTGCCATTGGTTTATTCATTGGATTGTCAATTATTGCCTTTGCTTGTACAATAATGTGTTTGGCGCAATAAAAAATCTGATGTGGCCAATAAGAAAAGGCTTGATTTTTTTTTATTGTGTAACGGTAGTTTTTGCCGCTCATCACGGATGTTAAAAATCACAAAAAGAAAAACAACAACCTTCACCATTATATTGTGAATGCAAAGTTAAGCTACCCACTCTAAATCAATGCTGAATTTTCCATTCGTAACAATACAAGGAAAAGCTGGCAGGCTAACATTAGGAATTGTAAGTTGAGCATTGGTGGAAGTATTGGTGATGGTGAGAACTTGACTTTCACAAGACAATTCCATCATCATCTCGTCTCCAGCTTTTAATGGGAAACTGTTAGCAGAATAACCGTTAGCTGCTTGCCACAGGTAACAATTTGCACTTGCCATGTAGCATCCGTGTTCTTTGTATGGAGTAACAAAGTCATTGAATATCTTCTTTTCCACCCTGTCAGTCATAACAACTCCAATACCAAGCCATGAAGTAAATGAATGAATATTGATCTTCCATCTAAAGGTTCCACTCTCCAACTTTGTGAGGTTATAGGTTTTGATGTATGTACCACTGCTATCATCACCAACAATAGAAACTTTCCTTTGTGATATTATTGTGGACTTGACAGAGGGCATAGCCAATATTTCAAGTGATGAGTCATTTCCGAACATATCATCAAGACAATAGAAGTTTGCCTCCTTTTGCAATTCCTTCAATTTAACCTTTGATAATTCAGATAAATCTGGACGTTCTCCAGTTCTCAAGTAATTCAACAAGTATCGGAAATATTTTGGATCTCGATCAATGAAATAAGTTCCATCTTGATCTGGTAACCAATTACCACTCGACAACATGGCATAGAAAAAGGAATCCTTCTTGCTGAGAAGAGTGTCTTTGGTTGATGCAAAGGTTTTTCCTCCAATGTTCAAAATTACTTTATCAGGACACTTTTTGATATTTTCTTCGATTTGATCTTGTCTGATCTTCCACTCTTTCTCTTTCTTCTCCAAGAGAGCTATTTTTTCATTTGCTTTGGCATGAAGTTGCTCAAAGAGCGTAGTAATGGTGTTTAGCTCTTCTTTCAGTGTTTGGCTTTGGTTGGTTACCAACATTTTTTTGAATTTTTGTAAATAGAGAAACGTTTTGATCCGAAACGTGGCTGTAGTTTCCCGCTTGGAAGGAATGTTAAATAAAATTACTTTTAAAATAAAAATGATTAAAATGTGAAAGGATGAAACCATCAGGATGGCATCTCTCGGAAATTCCTCTCTTCGCTAATTAGCAGCATATGTTTTATTAAATAATAATTTACAAGGAAGAAAATTATTTGGCTCTATCACCTTCCATAATGAGCATCTGATATACACACCTTGTTGTTAAACATTATCATCAACCATCAAACTAATATGTTTTCTACAATAGTACAAATTTCGGAACAAAATATCTATTAATGAGTCATACAACATTTATTTAACAGACATTTCACCTCTCTTCAGTCATCCAACATTAAAGTTCCTTCATTCCATCAAAAATAACCAAATCACAATGCCTTTTTTAATGAGTGATGACATTAACATTGAATCTCAGTTGTAGAATTGTTTGGCGGGAAATTTCTTTACGGTCCTTCACCCACACTCACCCAAGTCACTCTTAACATCTCTGTAAACGACTAGTGACAATTCAGCTGGAATCAGAAATGCGCATTTTACTGAAGCAAAGAATATGAAGTTGGGTAAAAACTAAATAGAAAAAAAGTTACAACTCACTTGCTTTCACTTGTCATCCAAAATTTTGAAACGCTTTATACAACAAAATGACAAATAGGAAAGCAACCCCTAGGTTACGTCTTTCTAGCACTAGTTGTATATACCTTATTATCCTAATCATTGTAGGAATTTGTATGAGCCATTCCAGCCATGCTCAACATACATGTACAGGAGTAGAATCAACACAGATTGGAACTAGTGGTGTATGTTCTGGACATGGTTTATGTACAGGCGATGATGAATGTACTTGCTTGGATATTACAACATCCACTGCTTTAATTTCAAATCAGAATAATATCATGACTGCAGGAGCAACCTTTTCCTCGCTCTATTTTGGACAATACTATTTACAGATGCAAACCTCAGGAAACTTGGTATTGTTTGATAATAGTGCTGGCAGCAATTATGCCAGTTGGATGAGTGGAACCTATAAGAAGGGAACAGCTCCATATCAATTGAAATTAGAAACTAACGGTACTTTGGCAATTTATGGCAATGGTAACGTTGTAAAGACATTGTCAGAAGCTTGTACTGGAGGTACTGCTCCTTTTGCTTTAGTTCTTCAAAATAATGGAGATTTAGTCTTGTATGGTTCTGATGGATATGTTTGTTGGAGTACTGATTATTCTGATGGAAGTGCTCCTAATTATGGATATGTTGGCTCTACTTGTCAGACACCAGTTTGTTTTAATGTAAATGCAACCAGTGACGCAGTATGTTCAGGTCATGGTACCTGTACTTCACCAAATAGTTGTAATTGTAACAGTGGATATGGCAATGCTAATTGTCAAACATTCGTATGTGGCGGTACTCTTGCTGGTAGTTATAATGTTTGTAGTGGTAGAGGTACTTGTAGTGGTCCAAATACTTGTACTTGCAACACCAATTATGTTGGATCCTTGTGTGAATATTGGACTTGTAATGGAATTACAAATACTAACACTTCATATGTTTGCTCAGGTCATGGAACTTGTTACAATCCTAATATATGCACTTGTGTCAATGGATACTACGGAACTAACTGTGAACTTATTATTGTAATAACA